CCGAGTGCTCCCCTTGCCTGCTTCTCACACCGCCTGCGAACCAGCGATAGCAGAATCCCAGTTTTAGTTCTAAATATGGATTTATATGGGCCTTTGGAACATTTCAGGTGTTCTGAGGGACCACATAGATGGAGTGAATTGCTGGATCAGAACCAAAACCTTCCCCAAAAGCCCCAAATGTCAAGAATCTGGATTTCCCTCCCTCTCTGCAGTTCATGTTCCTAGTTCAATTAATAAATAAGATTAAAAAAATAAGAAAAGAGGGGAAAAACAGAGAGAGAAAGGGAGAAACAGAGAGATTTTCAGCATTATAGAATTGTTTTAAAAATACTTTCTTCGTGGTTCCTCTCTTCTTTAACCCACATTAGTTAATTTCTGAAGGATGAAAGTGAGGTTATTTTTTTCCCCATCTGATATTTTCAGCCACAGTATTCTATCTATCTCCTCTTTCAATTTCCGTGGCACCCTCTGCACTGACTTTTCAACAATTCAGCCAGACTTCCTGGCAGAACAGTAGGAGGATTTATATTTGTGGCTGGATGCTCTCCATACTTCCAATTTCCCATGAGTCACAGGCCTGCCTCCCAGCTTTTTTACATTCGTCCTATACAATGACTGACACGTAGATCTGGAAATTATAGCTATATATACGCACGCACATATATACACATACATATACTGAATAAATTTAATTTTCTTCTGTCACTCTCACCATTCCGGTTTATGACACATGCAGACATGTCAGTTGACTCAAATGACTCTTCACCATTTTCCATGTTCTGCCTCTCCCACGAGTTAGCTCCACAGCTGCGTCAGCAACGCTTTCTGATGACAATGCTGCATTTTAAAAATGTGCAGGTGAGCTCCGGAGCTATTTCTTTCTCCCATTCAAATATTTATGCTGATTTGCCACTACTGTCTCAATTACTTTATTGCTTTGTGTGGGAGTTGTCGTCATCCCTCTGTAAGACACTTTGGGCTTTGGGATGTTCTGTGTTTTTAGAGGTACAAAGCTGCAGTCCATAATTTTTCACCTTTGTTGTGGTCTTGAGCAGAAAAATAGCCTGTTGTGAATCACTTGAGCAGAAACTTTGAAAGAAAATACTCTTGAGTATCACCTGGAAATACGACTATCAGATTTATCAGCGTCTTCACTATCTTGTGTATGAGGCCAGGGGCTGCCTTTCAGTGTGGATAAAGTGGGACCCTTCTGCTCCGGCATATATTTTCTGTAATATTTTCCATAGTATTTCCATATTTTTATCCAGGGAAGGAGAACAAGAAGTTCATCGCCTGCACCAGAAAGCAGGTGAGCTCCAGGCCCAGCCAGACCATCAAATTTCCTTGTCCCATTGTCAGATCACTCTGTGCAGGGTTTGCTAAGCCTTCAAAACTTTCCTGAGTGCACACAGCTCATTGACTTTAAATTAATTGCACTGCCAACATATAATGCTCGTTTGGGTTCACCATGTTTCCCTGTATTTGGGTTTTATCCCTGTGTTTACTCTGAAATTACACTAATTGTTCTGCTTTTACCTTTAATGCCTCTTTATTTGAACAGCAACCACGGGAAGTTTGATTACGGTCTAATGTTACATTGGTGCCTGCTCTGACTGATTCTGTGCCACTGAGTAAGTCCCAGGTTTGCTCTCCGTTGACACGGGGCTGAGATACCTCGGGGCACAGGACAGGGCTCGTTGCGGTGTCATCGTTCTGCAAAAGGACCCACCAGCACCCATGCAGCTCAGCATTGATGTTTGGTGTCCGAAAGGCTCAGCTGCATCACTCCTGGCTGAATCTCTTCTGCAAAACAAGCACTACGACCTAGACTTGTGGCATCTTCAGGGATTGTACCTGGATACTGCCAATTATCTCGATTTTTCAGTCTTTTGGAGGAAGGGACAGAAGGGAGGAGAGAAGCCTTCCAGATACCTAAATCACTTGGTCGGTGAAGGAGGCCAGAAGGAGATGGGGTAGGTTAGTCTAGGGAGACCTGGGAATAAATACGAGGCAAATGGAAGGGCTGTTCCCCATGGACACTGTGCATAGTACTACAGCTAAGAAGTCAAAACTGCAATTAGGGCGATTCACCTCAGATACCACGAAAAAATTAATGTAAGTAAAGCCCTAGAGAGAAAGTGACGGTTGTGCAACATTAGTGCTGGGAATTAAAAACGCAAAACAGATTAGAGAAGTGTTTGCACAGAGCATTACATGTACGGCTGCTTTTCAGGCACAGGCGAGCTCGGCAGCTTCTTTAGATCCTTCCACTATGCTTTAGGTGAGTCCATGCTTCAAACATCTTCAGCTCTTCAGACATGCCCAATTCTTTCCTGGTCCCTACAGCCAACCTATGCCACATCAGCAGACTTGCTCTTCCAAGAGAGGTGTATTTATGTATTTTTTTCACTGAATTTCACATCTCAAAAGCCTCCATGTGCATGTTGCAGAGGTGATAAATGTAACTGAGCTTTTCATTCCAGTAATTTTCTTTGTTCCCTTCATTACTTTATCACTCCAGAGGGTTAGCAGAGATCATCTTCATGACTGAAACTCATCCTCAGTCCAGAGCTGCTGGATGCAGTGCAGGTGCCCTTGAAATTCCCACTTCAAATACCCAGTCCCAGTAAGCATTTTAGGACAAGAGGAAACGGTCTCAAGTTGCGCCAGGGGAGGTTCAGTCTGGACATTAGAAAGAACTTCTTCACTGTTAGAGTCGTTAAGCATTGGAACGGGCTCCCCAGGGAGGTGGTGGAGTCACCATCCCTGGAGGTGTTCAAAAAACGTTTAGATGTGGCGCTTCGAGACATGGTTTAGTGGGTTTAGTGGGCATGGTGGCATTGGGTTGGACTTGATGATCTCTGAGGTCTCTTCCAACCATAACGATTCTATGATTCTATGTGGTCTCTCTCCAGCAATGCCACCCAAGCAAGGACCGCTGTGAAGCTACCAGGTGGATGAAGTATTTTCAGGGGAGCTACCAGCAATCTAAAACCATACTGGTACATGCTTTTCTCTGGCTAAACTTCCAGCTCCTCTGTGCTGCATTGTGTAATGTCTTAAATTTCACAACTGTTGTATTATACTGGCAGCACTCTCACCAGAGAAACACTGTTCTGCTCTCCTATGAAAGAAGTGACTAGGAGCCCTCCTAAGAGCATTTCACGTGCTTCAAGTTCTTGCAAGAGAAAGCATACCTAATTTTAGTTTAAATGGATGTTAATTTGACATGTGGATTTGAATAACTGAGATAAATTCTTGGTTTTTTGACATTAAAATATATTAAGTGACACGTGCTTTTTGCATACTGTTATTTTCTGAAAGCTTCTTTCTCTCTATAGCATCTAATGATAAAGGTCTAATGCGTAAGCGTCCTGAATTTGCAGGAAGTTGCACTGAATGGTCTAATAGGTCATTTTCATCTCTGACTTACATGGTAATAATAGAATAATAATCACAAAGGTTGCAAAACATTCCTACCCTGGCTGAATCAGCTGGCTTTTTTTAAGGGCTGAGTATTCATTGAGCAATAAATATTCATGGATTTTTCAGAAAAGACATAGCGCATAATTTCTCTTGAGCAAAATTAAATAAGGCAGGCAGCCTTATCCTACAGCAGATCACAAAGGACTGAACTTGAGTGACAGGCTTGAGTGACAGCTTAAGTATGCCTGACAGTTGCAGAAGTCATCAGGTTCTTCAACAGCAATTGTCAAGGCTTCTTACATTGTGTCCTTGAGCCTTTTCAGTGTTAAAAACATATATTGAAGGAGAAAGAGTTACTAATGCTACCATACCAGAGACAAATTCAATGCCTGATTTGACTCAGATGAATACTTTTCACTGTTGCTCTTGTCCCCCACGCACCTGGATGTATGGAGGGTCAAATATAGATTTGTCTCTCGACCAGCCTTTACAGCTCAGCTTTTGAAAACACGAAGCATCTGAGTCCAGTTCCTCAAAAGGAAAGAAAAACTGCAATTCCTGTGCCACAGCTCAGCAGAAGGCACTGACCCTGTACTCACATCACATAAAATATTGCTAAATATTGACCACGTGTTGCACTGCAGTTATTGAGGATTTTCTGTTAGAGGCTCCTGTACCTGCGCTGGCAACAGGAGCTCAGCAAGTGAATAATAATCCCAGTCCCTGTGTGCACCCTCTCCTGCTCTTACACACACACATATATACTCACACTGCTAAATTTATTTCCCCCTTGCTGAGGGACTTGCTGCCAACTTTCCCTCCAGCTTGCATCTTTTCCCACATGCTGCTGACTTCTGTAATCCCTCCCAATTCTCTCCCCCTTCTCTGTCCCTCTCAGCAAGGCTGATGCCAAAGCTGCTCTCAGCTAGACAGGGGATGCAGGGGGCTCACCCGAGTGGGTAAATGTTCCCATCACGCTCCCAAAAGCAGCGGGAAGTTAAATGGGAAGTCAAAGCCCAAACCTAATGGAACAGCACGAGTTCTCATGAGGCTCATTAAGATTCAGGAGTGTTAACTGTGATTCTTAAATATGGGGCATCCGAAGGCTATAATTTATCAGTGCCTTATTTTGGCACTGACTCAGTTGATACAAACTGCACTGAGTTAGGTGAGCTGTTCTGAGCTCCAGAAGATGACCTCAGCCATTAAGCCCCCACCTTCTTGTGGCTTTACCCACTCACCCAGCTCCTGGTGACAGGCCAGGAAACCAGAGGTTTGCCCCATTCCTCAGGCTACAGGACCTCAAAAGAGTAAATAATGTCCTGAAAACATAAGCTGAATGGTTTCAAAGCAAATAGCATTAAAAATACCCTACTCTGATTTACTCCAAGAACTACAGACGTTATTTCAGAGAACTGGTTGAAGTGCAGAACTGCTTAAATAAAGTAACCACATCAGTATGTGCAGCTTTCCACATGTTCCTGAGCCTAGTAGAACAATTTATGCTTTTCCCCTGTGGACAGTGGCATCCCTGGAGATATCCTCTCTCTCAGGATCAAAGGCCTCCTCCCAGATCAACTTTTCATATTCCTTGAGGTTTTTTTTTCATCTTCCTGGAGGGTCTCCTCATTTTCCCAGACAGCTCTCTCCTCTTCCAGGAGAGCTGTCTCATCTGCCCACAGAGCTTCTTCCTCTGCCCATAGGACTCTGTCCTCATCCAGAAGGACCCTGTCTTTCTCCCAGAGGAGCTGATCTTCTTTGAGAAATCCTTATCCTTCTTCCAGAAAGCATTATAGTCTTTCCAGAAGTCACGATACACCCTCCAGAAGGCTTCTGCTTCCTCCTGAATATCCGTTTCTTCCTCCCAAAAGGCAGCTTCTTCCTCCCAGATGGGCTTTCCATTTTCCTAGAAGTCTTGGATGGTCATGTTGAAATCTCTGGGTTTTTTCCCCGAAAGCCCATGATCTTCTCATGAAAGGTCTTAATTGTCTGCTGAAAACTCTGAATCTCCTCCCCAAAGGCTTCTGTTGGCGGGAGGTGCAGGAGACCAGGACAGGACCTGGCAACGGCAGCTCTGGTTCCCCGCTCACCACTGATGGACTGGGCAGAGACTCAGTCCACCCCCCTCCCGCCTCTCGCCTTGTGGCCCAACAGAGAGGGGAGCCATGGGTGTCAGTGATGACATCACGCAAACCTATGTCATAGCTGGCTTGATGTTATACCAGAAGTGAAGGCATTTACCATGAACGAAAAAGAAATCCCTGCCCAGGATTCAGCATGAACTGCAGTGGCACCTGGAAGTCAACCTGTGCCGTGAAGGGCAAAGGCCAGGTTTTCTCTAAGTCATTTCCCACCATGACTACAGGTGCTGCTGGTTTGGAGAGGGGTGAGGGGCTGTGCCAAGACCAGCTTTTGGCATTGTGCTGCTTGACCTGGCCCCAGTCAGCGGGTCCCCATCTGAAGGACAGACATCTCTGCCCTTTTCCCTCCAGTGCTCGAGGCACTGTCATCTCTCTGACCCTCGGCTATCTCTCCCACCCTTTCACAGACTCCTCCAAAAATTTACAGCTTTCAGAATCATGCAAAACTTGAACAATGAAAAGAGAACAAAAAATTTAATTTTCCATTCACTAATCTACCTAATAATTCTACAGCTAGGATTAAAGCTGGTTACTTATTCATACTGTTTCATTAGATTTATTATGACTTATTGCACAGTGCCTCCGGCGCCATAGCAGGGAGCGGGTTGCCTTCTAAATAAAAACCTCTTGGTTATTAATATATTATGAGCCTGCTTATCCCTCACGGCAGTCAGGAAAGGCCGCAGGGGCCTTTGTGGATGCAGTGCAGCTAATGGCGATAGGCACCGGCTCCGCGTGAGGAGCGAGGAGGTGGGGAGCACCCCATGCCTGCGCGACGGCTCCAGCGCCCGGTGACAGGACGGACGGACAGACAGCCTGAGCTGCAGGACCTTTCACGCACCCTGGCAAACACGCTGCTCCTCCAGCCCCTGTGCCCACCAGCTGGGCCTTCCCTGAGAGACTGGAGAGGCGGGAAAGGAGGAAGGCAGCCATCTACTTCAGCCTCACTCTCCCGGAGCTCCTGGGCCCGCCGGTTTGTCCCTGCTCGGTGTGAGAGGGATCCCAACAACAGGTGGTGTCCGCTCCCAGCTGGGCGGTCTCATCTGGGGGGGTTAGTGGTACCACACCACGTGCCTAGAAGGCCAGAAAAATTAGGTGAGTAAATATGCCAAAAGCTAATTGCCAGGAGCTTGTTATTACCTCACTTTCAGAGCAGCTGCTGAAGCAGCAGCCATTTCTCCTCCACCAAATGAGTTCCTGACATGGCTCCGCTCTCCCTCCACTTTCTGTGGGGCTCCCGGGTTGGCAGTTCCTCTTAATTCACAGCAGAAATATCAGTACATAGGACATGCTGAGTTTCTGCTCCCTGGGATTGAAGTTGGAAGCAATTCGGGCAATGGCAGTTCAGTTCCAGCCATCCCTGTAAGCTCCAGCAATGGCTGCCAGCCATTGACAACCGCAAATACACTTTCTCTTCTTTGAAACAAAGGTGGTGTTGCTTCTACTTAGCTAATTTTGCCATGCTTATTAACCTGGAATGTATTACTGATCTTTTAGGTGAAGTCCTCTATAGCCTTGGTAAGTTGTGCACATATCCGCGTCCCACTGCACTGCCTGGGCTCTGACGTAGCCCTGCTCAACCCGCAGCACCGCTGCCGGTGGTAGGAAGCCATATGGGCTTTCACTCTGCCTACTGTTACTGTTAGCAACGTGAAGATGAGGCAGCTATCAGGTTATAGACAAGGATATCTTCCCAAAACCAGCCGGAGAGGGCCATGTGGAGGACATAGGTGCTTACAAGTCAGTGTTGGTTTTGCAAGCCGAGTCGAGAAGCCGGAGCTAATGTGCTGCTGTAGCAGGCACAGAGATGACTGTCTGACAGAAGGACAGTCCCAAAAACCTGTGTGCAGAAATGGGATCTCCTAGAGCTTACCCACAGGGGAACCACAGGTGATCGTGTCCTGTCCTGCACCGTGGATCCAGTCCTGGGCGCAGGCTGCCCTGCACAGCAATTTCAGACTGGTTTCTTTGCAAAAGAAGACTTGCTCTTGAAAACATGGTAGAGGAGGAGCAGCAAACCAAAGCAGCAACCCAGGGCAGGGAGAAACAAGGAGTCATTTCTTCTTCCCTCTTGTCCATCCAGGGTTCAGCTGGAAAACTCCTTAGGAAAACAAATTTGACTCTGACATGGAGGAAGCAATCTAGGTGCCTAAACAGAAGTATCCAGTGCCATTTTAGACATTCAGGAATGTATAACCTATCTGCAGATGGTCTGGGAGAAGGCAACACGTAGGAGACGTATGTCCTTTGGGAGTTGCAAGTAGAAGCTGGGGAAGATATCCCAATGCATACCAGGGCATGAGGCACCCATGTGTTTGCGTGAGTCCCACCTCCAAGTCTGTCTCTGATTTATGTGGCTAAAGCTTCCTTCGGATCCTGCCCCAAGAGGTTACCAGACCAAATCAGGAAATAATTTTGGTTTTATGAGGCTTCTATCTCCTAAACAGGCACCAAGTGATACAAATAAAACTTTAAGAGCCTTTTCTCACGTGTTAGGGTAAAAATATTCCAATTGTGTTCTTTTACTGTGCTTCTGAGGCAGGCTTATAAAGATGTAGGATAATTATATCACAGTACATTTTTCAATTAGAACATCATTATTATCTCACAGAAAATGACTACATTATATCATTTTATTCCACAAGTCTGCAAACACTCTT